TCGACTGTCGAACGTTCATCGAAATCCGAATCGCAATTGCAGCTGATGCATGTACTTGACCAACCAGCCGGTCGCTCGACGTCGAGTATCATCGATCACCCTAATGCACGCGGAACATGTACACGTACTTTCATCGACGTATTCGTGTATTCGTAAAGTCCGGGTATCCAGTCTTCCGACTGAGGTAACACCCACAATGCTGCCGCTGTTCAATGCTGTTTGATGTCCGTTTTTATCCACTTACAGGAATTTCAATTCCTGATCAAATTCCACAATTTAATCGTCAAAGGAATTACCAATTAGACATTAATGAAAATTAATATCTTTAACGTTGACTATGATTACAAATAAACAGCTCAAAATTCTAAAAATTGTAGACGGTAGTACCGAGCTTGTAAAAGCGTCGGATCAGAAGGTTTAAGGATGATTGTTTCTCGGGAAGAATGGATTTTCGATGGATTTTCAGTCACGTAAGTCCGTGGCGAAGTCCGCGAGCAAATACTGCTCGAAACTCGAAAGTAGCTTCCAGTTTGGGAGATTTCAATTTCCAAAAGTGTTACATACTTTGGTGGTCCGGCTGGCGGCAATCCCTCAGTTCGGGGAGTAATGGAATTGGTCTGGCCAATTGCGGCGTGCTATGAATATCTTTGCCGCGAAGAATTCAGTCAGAATCAAGGAGATCTCGAAGGATGGAGAACTGGGCGAACTTTGACGACAGTTCTTAGCTGGCCAGAGGTAGAATTCCTTGAAAATTCAACGGGAAAAATCCTCCTGCTACGCTTGCTTTATCGAATACCACCGAATCGTGAAATGTTTTGTCGACGCAAGTAGCCATACATTCAGTTTACTTTACGATTATCCCTTTTCCCTAGCGATTCAGGGACGGATTTGTCCGTTCCTTTTACACATCGATCGTTTTCCTAACTGAACAGGCAGGAACAGCGTGCACATGATAGATGCACTGATGTAATCATCGTGATAAAAACACACGTTATTATTTCTGAAGAAATAAAAGCAATTTCTTTGACCCTATCTTCTGATTACATTTTTCACTTTCAGTTCGTTCGAAAATTAAAAGATGAATGATAAAAGTCATTTGTAAAATAATTTGTATCAATCAAAAAACTGTACTAAACGCAACCCTGTATTCATTTGAATAAATCTTACCTCTCACAAAATTTCAGAAAGTTTCGAAAAGCGCGAACCTTAAAATTTATGACCGTCAAGACTGCCAGGCGAAGTAACAATTCGGTATCTTCCTTTTAAAACTAGGATGCCGCTGGCAGCGTGGCAAACGTCAGAATACCTTTGAAATTGTTTCCTTATCCTAGCCGACGTTTCTTCGCTTGAACGAATCTTTTCTGAGTTCATAGACCCTCAGCACGAAAACCACAAACTCTACCGAAGAAACAACGAACGTATGTACGCTAGTATTTCTCGTGTTAGACACTGATTATTTCTTAGACGAATACAAACAGCTAATAAATTAAGAAAACCTTTTAGTACACCGTCGGTGAAAAGTTGAAGTTATGACGTTATTGAACTTTAACACGAAAATTACAAATGTTATTCTAGAAATGTACAAGCCTACACTTAAAATATCAGTTTTCAAGATAATAACCTAAATTTCCATAATTAGAATAACGTCATTAATTTTTGAAAATTATTTCCTTGATTCTAAATCATATTAAAGGCGATCTACATTTATCGTGCGGCTTAAATTTTTAACACCTTGAGATAAACTAACAACCAGAATATCGTCTTTAAAATTAAAGTAGTACCTGCAGTATCATTCTCCTATTACAATTAACAATTCTCAACAATACTAAAAATACCTTCTCGGTGTTTACAGATGTTCGACACGAGAAGTGGCCGAGCCGGCACATAAGTAGCGCGCAAGTAGTATCGGTCCGTGATGTGTCAGACACGAGCCATTTGTTACACATCGGAGGTGTCTTAAAAAATTACGAAGCCCCGCCGGTGCTCAGTCGTTAGAGTTGGTGAAATTGATAACACACGGAAACGTTCGAATGATAAATAGTTTTGATAGAACGTAGAGAAGGAGCAAAGATGAGAAAGGATCGGTGTAAGGAATGGAGACAGGAAGAAGCAAGTGGTTTCAGGAAAGAGAGAAAGACAGAGGTACACACAGACACACAGGATTCTAAGATCTACACGATGCAGCACCCACTATTAATCAACTCGTGTTTTGTTGTTTTCCCACGAAAAAGATGCCCTGTTGCAACCGCCCCTTCGTATTATCGTACCAACTCGCCGAGGATACTTGCAGGAGAATTAAAGCGGCTCGTCTAAGAGAACCAAGGAAATCTTTAATTAGCTCCGACGGCTGCGTTTCATCCTTGTTCCTGTTGCTACGTGACGAGCTACACGAATCGAGCGAGAATTATTCGTTTTCGCAGCGTGTTTCTATTTATGTCGCTACAATCCCTCAGGGAATAAAGCGTACAAGGTGGCGTGTGCTTTTTTTCCTTCCTTGATCACGCGCTATTCTTGTCAAACATCCCTTTGGAAGCTGTGCACCGGTGCGAAGAAATCGTGGCGTTTCTCTGGCTCTTTGTTCCTTTCTTTGTTTTATTTTGCTTTTCAAGAGATCGTTTCGTTGGCACGCATTATAATTCTTGGACAAAATTCGTTCGTTCAAAGGTTGTTTGCGAGCTCCGCTTCCCGTTTGCATCGCTCCGGGACGATTGTGCTTTTTGTTCGCGTTCGTTACGGAAGCAAAGGGTTCAAAAATGTGCTGGAAAAAGGTTTGTCGACCAGTTTCCCGCGATACAGTCCGTGTTTTTATTGCGCCGACGTTTCGGATCGCCACGATTTATCGTTTCGGCCGAACAACCGATAACGTATATCTTCTTTTTGATTTTAATTTCCTGGTAAATTCGTTAACACGTTTTCGCGCCGTATAAATTCAACGAATAGAATTAACAGTGACGTATGTTTTTCGATACCTTTTTTGCTCTCTCAATTATTCAATTACGGTATCGAAAAGCGATTCGTCGAAAATCGCTTGAACCAGCGAGCAGAAACAAGGAAACTGAAATTCTACGTTTTTCGATGGACAAGAGAAAAGTGGCGTGAAAGAAACGAAGAGGAGGACGAAACGGTCGAAACAATAGAAACAATCCAACAATTTCCGAAGGGTGCTCGGTTGCTTAACAAAATAGTGACGCTTAAAAAGGCAACACAGGGGGTTGAAAGCGCGCAAGCTCAACCGGTAGCTCTCTGCTGGACACTCTCTGCTTTTATCATTTCAACGAAGAGTTTTGTTTCTGTACAGTGTGCGTGGATCCTTTCATGAACCCGCATATAAAGAACGAGAGAAAGAGAGAACGAGTGGTGAACATAGAGAAAATGCAGGAAGAGGCGGGGTAAGGGCAGCGAAGGATGAATTTTCTGCTGCGTTTAAAGCTCAAAGAACTCTCGCCCTCATAGTCCGGCCAAAATGTTTTAATTACTCATAGTACAAAAGCATCGCGTGGGAGTACTATGAAAAGTGTGAGCGCAAAAGGAAAGGTGAAAAGCGACAAAGGGCCCAGTCTACCGCGGTGCAGCCGCGGGAATAAAGAATTAAATTGGGAAAGGGATAAAACGGCTGGAAGGAATGTTACAAGACAATGACGTATGCAGCCTTCTATTTCGTTTAACTACCATCTTTACCTTATAACACAGATTCCTGAATATTATGTAAATTTTCTAGTTAGACGAGCCGGGAAATCGCACGATTTACCATCATCCCCCTTTTGCAACTCGTCTCTGTTACAGGTTTTCCATGTTTGCCTAGCGTTCTGCTGAAACAGTTCTTTCGTTTTCTTTTCTTCAATCCTTAATGAAAGCACCCTCCGCGTTTTCCTTATTTCCGTCTCTGATTTTACCAAAGGGATAGATTTTTTCTTCAAATGAAAGCGGAATAGAGGAGAAAAGAGTAGAAGAACGGTGTAATTTTACGAATCGCAGTTATTGTTGATACTGATTCTACCGTAAGATTTTTATATATGAAAAGAAGTTTCATTAAGTAAATTCGGACAAAACGTTTGCTCTTGTAATTCTCTTCTTTCTTTCACATCTGAACCAGCACATTCCATTACAGGATAAATCTCAGTTTATCGCTCTCCAGATGGACATACCGTTATCGCGGTTACAAACTTTGCGAAACAGTTTAGCGCACAACTCGCTATCATCTAAATTGAACTAGCTCTAAAATTCGAACAGTAGCGATATACTATAAATAGACGAACTACAGTTCTGTCGATAATCCGGTGAAAACTTTTGAAAGCTCTCGTAACTTGTTGGAAATTGTCATGTTCGGATAGTAACTCCTAAAGATCGTCGTTATTTTCGACGATTCGACAGTTTCAACCTGAAGCGATCGTTCTTTCATCTGACATGCAACGTTCCGTACGATGCAAAGTTTATAATATAGAGGAGCGTCGTTTTCGATTGACTTAGAGCAGCCAAGACTTGCAGCGAAAAGCTCGACGACGCTTGACCCTGCGGTTTCCACTAACTTCTAACTAACGGCGATCGATGCGAATCGCCGGCTAACGTCAAATTTTCCTTCCGTTCTGGCTCCACGATCCCTTGCGGTTTCGGACAGCCATCGAGTTGGCTGGCGTTGCCAAGTCGAGGAATCTTCATCGGATTCGGAGCAATGTTTTCTTTACCTTCCTCGAAACGGCCATGACAACCGATTGCCCTCTCGAACTTCGTGCGGAGAGGGTTGCGTGTAAAATTTTATTCGAACGTTTCACGATTCACGCTCGACACACTTTACGTCCCTTTACTTTCGGTTATTTTATGCCCGATCGTGTGAGAGCTTAGTTTTTATTCATTTTTGCGTGAAATCTTAAGATACGAGATCTTCATTTGTTTAAATTAATCTCCTTCTTTAAATTAGAAGGAAATCGCTATTAAATTACACTGTTAAATATGTGGGTTCAAATTTTAATTACGAATATCCATAATGAATAGATTCGACGTTATTTTATATTAGAAAAATATATTCAGTAATTAAGCATGAACAGATTACACTTTTACGTAGACGAAAATGTAAATAACTTGGAAGCTAGAAAACAAGATCCTCCCTGGCAGTAACATTTTAATTAAAGAACCGAGCGTTTAGCGAGTTATTGACGACACTGCTAGACTTGTTTATCCAGCATTCAATTAACTTCGAAGTATCTCCGAGTTAACCCTTCGTTTCGCCCACCCTTCGTGATTCTTACTCACAATCAGCATCATTCTTCTTTTTCTGGACTGGAACGATATGGCAGAAGATAAAATGGAAACGTGCCTCCCTTCACGAACGCTGTTTTCTCAAATAGGGTGCACCGTTCAGGGTGACTCACCATAACTTAGCATCTCAAGTAATTATTTTATTCCTAGTGAAAAGTGTCTAGAGAAGAAATATATTCTGCTCAAGGTTAAACGATTAAACCTAACGTTATTTTTTCAAGTTTTTAGAGCAAAATAATTTTCATTTTTTTTAAATTAGAAATATAGCATTATTTATTTTATATAGGGACGTTTAGTTTAATGATCTAGAATTTGTATGATATTGACGTAATCTTTCATCTGTCAAAATGGCACCATTTTTACCGTTCAAACAAGATTGATCGTTCAAACAGACCGGTTCTATCTGATTAACATAGGGCACGTCGATTGAACGACTCTCGTTCCCCGTATTTACGCAATACCCATTCTTTTCTCTCTTTCTCTCTCTCTTACCGTTCGATTCGCTGCAAGCACGAGTACAATGGGCTTAATACGCTCACAAGGCACCCTTCAGCAACGGGGGCGGCTTTTATTTAGCCGGTAGTGGAGTTAATCGAAACGTTTACCCTGCACTCTTGGAACATGAGCAAAAACTTTTAATTGAATATAAATAATTAATGGGGAACACGAGGCCGTTGAAAGGGTCCGGGTTTTTCGAGTTCCAATGCAAAACAACGTCGCTGAAACTACGAAACTGTCATTGTTCCCGGCTGTTTCCTGTCGGCCGGGCGGTTGAAAGAAACGAGAAACCTGGACGAAATTAAATGCGGCGTGTTAATCGAACGAAGGTGGAAGAGAATCCGAGCGATACCGCTTCGCCGAGTCGAAGCTTTCCCTCGGAATTCCGTGGGGGTCATCATTTTCGAAGATTCCCAGGAAGTAATTCTCGACGTGAGCAAGGCCGTTAGATGAAATTGAGCGAAAGAGGAAAGCTGGAAAAAGAGGAGGACGACCGACTATCTCGTGGAAATCTGCTCGTAACCGTTCGTGGCCTGATTTTACTCGTCGAACCCACGAAGACAGTGGACTCTCTGCCGAAATGCTGGCCTCTACGCTCGGAAACGTTCGAGGAAACGATTCCTATCAGAAGCATGTAAATCGGAAAACGAAGACGAAATCATCCGCGCGATGAAAGATGTACGATCAGGTGAAAGGGAGCAAAACGAGCGCAAGGTAACACGAGTTATAACCAAAAGTATCGAAGAAAGAATCGAAGAAAGCTTTACCTTCGTTCTTTTTTAAGCTGCAACTTGTAAAGAAACGATCAGAAACCTCCAGACTCCATAAATGCTCGATATAAATCATATCCGGTGAACGGCGCGCGTTTCGACGTTTCAATTTCGTGCGAAATACAGGAAACGTGAATGAAAATAGAAGCCGGCGCGGTCGAGCCTTCACGTTCACGCTTCCGAACAAACTTCCGAACGCGATATCAATCTTCAGCAAGAAACCCTTTCCAAGAAAATACCTTATTTTCCAACTTAATCTCGCATGCACGTGGCAACGTTTTCGCGAACCGACCTTTCGAACCGATCTTTTTCTATTTTATCCACAAGACATGTTTCTATAAAAAATATCAGCTACTTTCTACGAGAATGATCGCGAATGGCTAGCCAAGAGCGTGCACAGGGAAAGTGTCGATGCCGAATGCAATGAAAACTAGTGATCCAATGTCATTTTTACGTGGCGTCGGCGTCGGCGTCGCGAAGCTTCGCCTCGGCCGGGCCCTCGAGCGTAGCCCGGAAAATGGATCGGCCGTTCGATCGGCAGACGTATTTCAATTTCATACGCGAGTGCCCCCGTCATTTTCTCGCACGTAGAAAGCGTCAGGGAGTAATGAAAAATTTACCATGCGACGACGAAGCAGACCTCTCTAGCATACATAGCATTGGAAATACCGACAGTCGCGTTTATGTCACGGCCGTGTTGCACGATATAATGTTGCTCGACCATTTTAACCGGTACCGTCTTCTATTTTTCACGGTTCCTCTTCGCCCCGTTTACCTTCCTGCCCACCAAGGACACTGACATTCGTGTCGCGTCCCGTCACGTCATTATTCACGCGGACAGTCTCGATAAACGAACACGAGATGCAAGGGAGAAATTAATAATCAGATGGTAGAAAACGCGTGTATCGGCTTGGATTCGTTGCGGATTTTCTCAAAAAGAATACTGGATGAGGCGGGAGTGCTAAATAAATCTGACGGGATACACTGCGCTTTTCCGTGTCGCGAAACGTCGCAACGAGATAATTATGTAGCCGGCGATTATGGAGGAAAATTGCGGGGGAAGGAAAAGAGAGAACAGAGATACGCTATCGCAGGTCAGCAGCAGTTTCTTTCTAACCCGATGCCGGATTGTAGCGAAACAATAGCGAAGAGTAATTAGCGACGTTTCACGGACGATGATAATTAACGAATTTCTACGGGACCGGCGAAGTTTCGAGGCTCACAATGAAATATCCAGCCCGCCTTTCTCCACTGTTTCCCAATCTTGTTTCAACCCAATGACCCGTTTCATTCGATCCCCGTCTCAATGGACGCCTCAATGAAATCGAAACAATCGTAGCCGGCCAGAAAGAGAATCATTGTTACTACTTACCGGTGTATTATTGGATTTTCTTCTTGGAATGCCTAGCTGCCGTGGGTTTCGCCCCTGGCTACGTACAATTCACGCTGGGCGTTCAAGAACTTCTACGAATTATTTCTTCCAGCCTTCATTCATCCCTATTTATAGGAAGTTCGTTTAAACGTCAGTGAGTTAAATCAATACACTTTCATCAATGAGCATACAATTTTCTTATAAATTTTCATAAATTCAAAAGGACATACTTTAACTTCCTAGATGATCTCTTCTAATTTAAATCAATCACCTTGTTATCGATTGATCGATGATTCACCGACGTCTTTCTTGAACAACTGCAAATAAAAATGTTCGTAAGTAAAGATAAGAAGCAACTGAGCTGTGTTGCCAAATTCGTACAAGTTTTCAGAAAAATTATACAGAAGAAATCTGTAGAATTTGAAAAACACTTCAACTGAAATATATTGCTCTTCGCGCCGTCTTCTTTCGCGTTCTTCTCGAGAACCATCAAGCGACTTAATAAAATATTCCCATAATCAGTTGAAGACTCAATGTACCGACGAGAGGAGCAGGTCTGTCTACGCGCAGTATTATACGGGTGCACGCGGTTGAGCACGATAGATGCAAATGCGGTTACAAAGCCCACTCGTAGATCGAGGAGATGGCAAATTCATGAAGCGGCCAGAAAAACAGCGGCAGATGAGCACGGTGGACCTTAAACTGGTGAAAATGGGAAGTTGGACGAGGTCCAACGCGAAGGTAATCGGCAGTCTCGGATTTCGTGCAAACAGCAAAAACCGTCCAGTTGGAACACGACCAATGGAACCACTGGCGCACCGTAAATTTTTTCCCTTTCCCTCGGATAACGAGTAGCTTGTAAAATTGAATACCGCCGAGCTTACAAGACGCTAGTCTTCGTCTTCGCCCATCAAACCAACGTCTCTTGTACAGACGTACACGTAACGAGGCAAGAAGTACGTTGATTCAAGAATAGCGATTCAAAATCAGAGCACTTGGAGGAATGCTTTAAATTTACTGTAAAGATTATTATTGGATCGAAGGAAAATTGTCGTTTTAATAGAGCGAATGAAATTGAAAAAGCCATCGTACCGTGGACGAGGATCAGACTCGACGAAACGTAAGGATATCCTCGACGGTAGGAACTGTGACGAATATCGGGATTAATCTTCGTTATTCTCGTCCAGGCGTGAAGTACGACGAGAAAACAAATCTCCGGGACGCCATCCGCGGGATTTATGCGCCACCAGAATGGGTTGATTCGATTCGAGGAAGAAAGGAGAGAGAACGATGGGGATGGTTTTACTTAAGAAGCTTCCGGCCCACCTTACTTCACTTAGCTCCGTCGTAGATGCGGTTGGAGTTTCAAGTAAACATCCGGCTGGGCCACTTCCTCCCAGGAGCGAAACTCTCCGGCATATCTGATTTTCTAACCGATCGTGGCTCAATAACTTTCACCCCTCAGACACTCTCTCCCGTTCTCTCTTTCTCGCTGCATACCTCTCGACCATCTCCACTTAAATTACTGCTTGAATACTCGCTCGCAATAATCTGCAACGAAACTTCGGAAGTCTATTTATTATTCCAGATGATCTTGGTGGAATCGAGTATGGGGGCATGTCGGAACCATCGACTTGTCGTTGCAGCTTCTCCTCTTGATTTATACCCAGATTTCTTTCGGATTGAAAATATTTGCCTGGTTCAAGTAAGTGCCAGTTGTAGAGGGGGGTCTCGTCTTCGTTAAGCACGAACCTGTAAATCAAACAATTCTATATTAGAATTAGGAGAATTAACGAATGTGTTTGTTAAGACGATTAGCAAGGCTGAAGATTACAATAATACCTTTAAGCACCTTCTTAAAACAAAAGTTCATACTATGAAAATGTGCTCAACTATCGTAGTTTATCATTCCACGTTCCACAGCGATCAAGTCCCTTCACAATAAACTAAACAGAAACTCGCCAGAGTTTACAGTACCATTCCCCCGACTTAAACTCTCCTAATACTGCCTTCACTCACCGTGCTCTCTAAAACTTCACCCTCTAAACTCCATCCTAAACTCTCCCTCATCGAATACCCCACGCTCTTAAGAACATCCATCGATACAGATTCTTAGCCACCGTTCAGGCACATCGTCCTATCATCACACCTTCCTCACCAAAAATTTTCTCATACTTCATCAAACCATCCGGTGTAAATGTTTTTACTTAAAAAATAGAGAAGTATTGCAGAAAGTGCAATTTCAATCGCTTACGTCTGAACATGATGAATTTTTCGATTTGCTCTTTCGTTTCAAGTAGAAGAACTCTTCAAACAAGATCCGCCGTCGAAACACACGCGGTATTCCCATAAACGACGCGTCAAGCTGCGTGTCACCCTTTCGCATGGTGGTCGAAATAATAGTAACTGTTATTATCTATTTAACGACGGGTCCCGCGGACAATTTAGCGGCGAACGCATTATCCGGGGGTAGGGTGAACAGGAGGGAGCGAGAGGGGTGGCGAAGAGCGGTCATAGCGATGCACACCGAACCGTGCACTTTACAGCAGGGCAACGCGCGCCAATGACAATTTTAATGCGAGCATTCATCACGAGGGCCGGTGCACGGCATCGTGCAAGTCGCGCGAACGCGGCCACCGAGCAATGGAATAAATTTGGCGAACTCTGATGCGGCATAAACGGGGCCCACCCCTGATGACCGGACGGCCACCGTTTAAACCAGCGGCATTATTCACGATTCACCGTTTCCTCCCTTTCGTCGCCACCCACCCAACCTAGCCCGACCACCATTTTTGCCGCCCCCAACAAATTTACGCGAATTCACACCGGTTGCTGCCCAACACCCCCGAAAATGTAGGCTGGAACGTCTATTACCGTTGCTGGGCCGAATGTCGGCTCCAAGTGTGCCAACCACCCTCTAACGAGAAAAATTGAAAATACATATATAAGTACTTGAATAGAGCGTCGTCTATTTTAGTGTGATCGAAATTCTGTTGAAATTCATCGACGCGTTATACGCGCCGGTTTCTACCGTGTGATAGAACGGAACAGGGAGCAAGATTTGATTAGCGTTTCGGTGTTGATGCACCAGTAATTAGCACAATTGGCGTGTACGCAGAAATCGACGCAACAGCCGCGTACGCGTACGCTCGACGTTAATGAGACCGATTAAAGTGGCTGAAAGCGTGAATGAAATTTTAACCGGTGGTGCAAAAGCGTACTTTGGAGTCGGAACGAGAAGTTGAAGAAAACTTTCCAGATATCGATTGCTTTTGTTTCGGAGCGTATCGAGACAAAGGCGGTTGCTTTGCATCGCTGGAACAGTAATTGCAACTAAACTGTGTGCGTGGAATGTCGAGGAGTCGGCTGAAAGCGGAAAATTTTTTTCCAACTTTCGCATTTACGAAAGTACCAAATGGAAGGAAAAATACTGAATACTTAATTTAAAGATTGATTCATGATCACGCTGTTACGGATTTAACACTTGATATTACGTCCCGGTATTCGAATCTGGAAGGAACCATAAATTTTTCGAACGATTCCGGCGCGACCCAGTCCATTTAAATATCAGTAACAGGAAACCAATCTACTCCATTCGGCTGCCGGAAATTACCTTCGCCCGTTGCCACTTCGCGTTAGATCTAACATGACTGGAAAGAAAAATAAATGTTACTTTCTCTCTCGGTTCGTAATAATCGTGAACAAATAAAATAAAACGCGTATCTGCTATTTCCACTCTTCTGCTCCTCTTGTTCAAAAAGTTTTACGTTGAAAAATAATAAAAGAAGGTAAAATAATTCAACCGGCTTCGAGCCTTTTATCATTGGATTGCATTCGATGTTTCGTAATCCTTTGTTTTATGTAAGCTAAGCGTAACATAAACAAACACACCAGGTTTTTTCCCCTGAAACATTCGATATAATTCTTGTCGAACGATCGAGGAATTTTATTAATATTATATTTTATTATGCTAAGAGTGATAACGAAAATACGAGTTTTCTTTTATTAAAAACATCTCAGTAATAATAAAAGAAAAGTTTACACAAAAGATCAAAATAAACCGATTCGTATGTAAAATGCAAGCACAACAGTTGTTCTCTCTCCGCTATTTACACAAGACTGAATAAACCTGATGCTTCGAATCGGTTGACGTTAAATCGAAAAGATTTAAATGCTGTAGAAAAGTTTAGAATACTTTATGAGGGAAAAGTATATAAGCTCGGGGATCTTTCGACGATCGAAACATTCGATTTCCTATCATACATAAGTGCATATTCGTATTTCCATCGTGCTCGCGATTTCATCAAATCCGCTGATCCTCCATAGGTAATGCGAAATCTCCTTCTTCTATTATACGAAATTGAAACGTGTTCATGGAAAACGACTATCGCAAATTCTGAATAACGTTTCTCAGAAATTAATGCTATTTTGAATATCGAGATTCACGTAAAACCCTGGTTTCTACAAAAATTCAGAAAACGGACACCGATGCGGGATGAATCATCGATGATACGATGACAAGGCTCGCGCTGCAATTTCCCTAAGCTGCAATAATCCGAACTTGTAACAGGGTATATCGCTTAACGCGGCGGGATCGAGGATCCTGCGGGAATTAAGCGAACCGAAGGGAACAAGCAAAGGGTAGTGGTCGGTACCGATACGAAGTCGAGCATTATCGTTACAATGAGATTCCGCTGCGGTACCGGAAACGCTCGGCCAGCCGCGACACGCAACGTCGCGGAAACAAAGCGCGACGATCTTGGTTATTTCGTAGGTAAACGCGGACCTCGTGGAGACGTTTCAATGTGGACGACATAATGGGTTGCCTAGCATGCGGTACTATCGCAAGGCCAGAAGGTAATAACTCATTGTCCATTGCTCCGCGACTCTGCGAGTCAGGTACTGATGATTTCCTTCCGGCGCTGTAGGCCTCGCCTCGCCTCGCCTCGTCCTCGGCCAACTCGAGGAACGCCTAGCTTCTGACGGATATTGCACGGAGGCTGCCGTACTAGCTGATGTACCAATCCCAATGATTTACCGAACGCGACGCCGCGTCATCGACCGGATAAATTATTTACCCTTCGGTCGGCGGTAATTTGAATCAGCGTCGAAGCGTTTCCTGCTTGAGATACGTGCATCGTGATGGACACCCTTCGAACGTTTCCGAGGGCCTTTTAGCCAAGAACGAAACATGTTGCAAGATTTCAGGAAAAATGATGATTATTCAATTTGATGTTTAGAAGCATCTGACATTAACCCTTTGCGGTCGAGGAATTTTTCTCCCTGGGTCGAATATATTTTTTTGTATAAAGCGATATCTGCTTATAAAATAAATTTTAGTGAAACTAATTTTGATTTCAGTAAATGTAAATTTAAATCACTAATCAAAGAATGATTGTGTCGATTGCAATTCATGTAAAACATGTATGACGCAATGGTAAGAACAAAGTATTGCCAACTAGGAAAACGAAATTATTTTTTGCCGCCTTTGCGGCGACATTTGACCTAGTAAATAGAAATGCGATGCTACTTGTATTCGACCGCAAAGGGTTAAACTTTTTCAATCTTATGATGAACTATATACTCGTTAAAGCATTTTCAGTGTATGTACAGTGACATTGATCGCCACAAGGGACCACCAAGGTGGTCAACGGGTGGTTGAAAATCGTACGATAAGTACCTACTTCTCGTGGACACGCACAGAGCACTCCCGCGAGTCGAGTAAAATGGAAAACTTTTATCTTGGTCGCGATCAACGTAACGATTCAACTTCGTGACGAAGATTCGAACAGTCGGTAGCCGCGAACGCGGTGTTCCTTCGGTTCTCGCGATAAATTCGCATCGACCGACTTTCGTTCCCCCCTAGGCAGATAATCCATCAAAACTCGTTCCAACAATTCACGTCGGGCCTAGTCGAGGCTTGCCTGCAACTCCGCGGGAATCACCGAAGGAACTTCGACGTTCCGTACGTTTTCGCCGTTGTTGTCGTCGTCGACTTCTTCCACGGGAACGTCATCCGGCGACGTGAAGTGTTGGATGATTGAACGGCGAGCTTAAAACCCGGAATCACTCGAACGGGGAAGCTAAAAGGATTTCGATAGAGGCGTCGAGCGTCGAGGTAAATGCAAAAGAAAGGAGCGCCGCTGGAAAAAGGCAGAGGAAGAAGAAGAAGAAGTAGAAGAAGAAGCATAGGGAACTGCCACGACGAACTATCAGACAACGGGGAGAAAAGGGAAGAGAAAAAAAATAAAACTGTGAAAAGAGGGTAGAAGAACACGGCGTAGCTCTCTTTCATCGTAACCGTGTCTCTGAAAATGCAGATGTTCCATCGAGCTTTCCCCTCACCTTCTGTTACGCTACCACCGACGACGCATTTGACAGGAATACGCAATAATCTCTGCTAGCAGTGTATGCTGGCGCCTGTTGAGCATTCATCATACCTGTCGATTTCTACGGCGCATCTATCTAGACACCTACGCTTCCCGCTCTAAATTATCGCGTCTGTTCGCACGGACATAGCTGCGCGGGCCTAAATCTACAGACAGATTCAAAAGCTTCATGGCGAGTTTCAAAGATGAATATTTCTATCAATTTAAAGGTTTCTATATATTTTCAGACGTCTCGTTAATCGGAAAATTAGAGCAACTGAAATGGAATTAAAAAGTTCAACGATTCGATTAGCACAATGCAAATGGATCTATTAAAATCTTAATTATTTAATCAATATTGGATATTTAAACGTCAATTAAAGT